TGGTTTGAGTAGAATACAGATTGTGCTGCTAAAGATGCAGCAGCTGCAGCAGCAGCAGCAGCAGCAGCTGTTGATAAAAGTATTGTTTCTGCTGCAGCTCAGCAGCAGCAGCAAATGCAGCTCCAGCGCTGACCGCGCATGCTTTACGGTTGCTGCTGCTGCTGCTGCAGCAGCAGCAGCAGCAACTGCTTTTGCTGCTGCTGCTGCTGCAGCTGCAGCAGCAGCAGCAGCAGAATTTGTTTGATGCTTCGGCTGCGTTTGCATTTACCCAGAAGACGAAAGAAAGCCTCATCTTGTGCTTTTCGTTAGGTGTTGCTGCTGCTGTTGCTGCTGCTGCTGCTGCTGCTGCTGCTAGCTGCTGCTGCTGCTGCTGGCGGTGTGTCGCAGCAGAAACAACCGAAGCAGCAGCAGCAGCAGCAGCAGAAGTATAGTAATCAACAACATTCGCCATAGAACAGCAAAAACCGAACAGCAGCAGCAGCAGCAGCAGCACTAGCAGCAGCAGCAGCAACAGCAACAGCAGCAACAACAGCAGCAGCACTAGCATCAGCAGCAACAGCAGCAGCAGCACTGTTAGTATCAGAAGCAGCAGCAGAAGTGCAGTTATTAAGCAGAGTAATAGAGTTTTATGGTTGCAGGCTGCTGCTGCTGCTGCTGCTGTAGCAGCAGCAGCAGCTGCTGCTGCAGTAGCTGCTGCTGCAGCAGGTAGTAGGATTTCTGATTAGCGGTGCTGCTGNCAGCAGCAGCTGCTGCTGCAGTAGCTGCTGCTGCAGCAGGTAGTAGGATTTCTGATTAGCGGTGCTGCTGCTGCTGCTGCTGCTGCTGCTGTATGGGGGCTACCCCTTACTGCTGCTGCAGCATGCATCTGTCTCCTCTCTGCAGCAGCAGCAGCAGCAGCAGCGGCAGGAGGGCGAGCTGCTGCTGCTGCTGCAGTAGTAGTATGAGTAGGCGTGTCAGCAGCAGCAGCAGCAGCAGCAGCAGCAGCAGCAGCAAAAGGGGGTTTGGTGCTGCTGATTTTTTCTAGGCGTTTCATTCTTCTCTCCAGCTTGTTTGCTGCTCGCCTGCATGCAGCAAGTGTTCTCTCTTCTGCTGCTGCTGCTGCTGCTGCTGCTGCTGTTGCTGCTGCTGCTGCTGCTGTCTTTGCTGCTGCTGCTGTTGCTGTTGGTGTTGCTGCTGGTAGTAGAGGGCTGCTGCTGCGCAACGGCTTGCATGCGGGGGAGGAGAAGCGTGCTGCTGCAGCAGCAGCA